TATTCTGAATAATATTGRTAAAAGATTTATATTCTGTTTTAAGTAGAGAATGTAGGAAAATACTGTATGCGTTTTATGTTGATGAAGCTACTCAGAGCCAGAGCAACTAAGACACTAAAAAAAAGAAAAAGAAATGTTCGGCAACATTACTTTATTTAAAGTCTTTTCGCCATGGTAAGCACTACATATGGACTTAGCAGACAGCTCTCGTAACTAACAGGTCGTTGTATTACGTGGATGACAGTGTAACATTAAACAGTTTAAGTTTCAGTCATGCTCCGTCATTATTGCGTTGTAAAGTATTGAGTTAATGACTAAGTAATTAGTATTTTTTGATTGATTTTTATTTACCTTACCTTAGCATTTTTAATTTWGTTAGGAATTTTCAACGAAAATTTTGAGCTTCTTAAATGATCGCGGTAACAGTGTCCACTCGAGCGATTCCTCCAATGGCAAATGGYGTTACCGTTCATTTTAACTGAAAATAACTTCAACTATCTTTCAAACGGTTGAAAATTATTRTGACCGTTGATGACACCTAGAACGGGCAAATAAGATAGTCTAACACATGTAATATTTGTATAAAGTTCAAAGTGAAAGGTAATTATAGGAACAACTTTATAAGTGAATCTCCTATCTCTCTATAACAGAATTGATTTTGAAAAAAATCTTCATGYTTCCCTAACAGTAGGTCAGAAGGTAACTATGTACATATGGCGAACCGAAGTCCTGTTATCGAAAAGCAAGTATTCGAAAAGGTGTCATCAAAAAAAAGGATATAAGATGGATACAGAAATCCATGGGTACCTGGGTACCCATCCACCAAATTGGCAATTATGATAGAAAGCCCTTTCTAGACAGATAAAATAATACTATAAAGTCGCCCATAGCAAACGCGCCATACAGAAGCGCAGAAACATGGGCAATGTCCAAAAGTAGTGAGCTGATACTTGGGGGATTCTAAAGATGTTTGGTCATTTACGTGTTAGCGACCACTATCTTATCCGCACCAAAGAGGAGACATTTGCACTGTACCACATCATTGACATTGTCCAGTGAATAAATATCCAGCAKCTGCGCTGGCTTTTTAATGATGTGAGACCGGATACTGATGCTCCAGCGAAAAAATGCTTTTGATGGGAGAGTCGGTAGTAAAAGACGTCGAAGTAGACCGTTTCTCTGGTGCAGTAATCTTGGTGTATGAGACTGGAGAAGATGGCGCGTAACATAGGCGTCTGGAAGGCATTTTTACAAGCCAAAATCCAACAGGATTGATAAAGTTAATTAAAAAAAAAAGTAGATCCTTGATTGAAGCATACTTCGGTTATACTTCATAGAAAATCACATCGTATAATGGTTTCTCAGATAAAAACGTAAATTAATAGTAAGTATTTCGATGCTGGTATACTATAATTTTACTATGTTATACCATATCGAGAAGCGTATGTGAGCTTTTGTCACAAAAACTAAAACTAAACTAAATAATAACTGTTAAATTTAATTTCAAACCGATATCGAGAAACTTACATCCAAAATATGTCACATAACTTCRAAAGACTGCCATTACTACTTGCGGATTTTTTGTAAACTGAGTTCTACAAACGATACGAAGACTTTACTTAACAGGTTCCCTGTCCCCATACAAAAATTAATTTTTAACGGTACACGTGCAACACTTATTTTCGAAATCATATTGCTGTAGGCGTTTTTAGAGGTTATCGATGAATTTTTGAACTATCCCACACATCTTGACAGCGATATAACGGTAACAAAAAATTTGTATCAGCTATGATACACGAACGTGTCACTACGAAGTTTAATTGCATACGCTCAATGTACCATCAGTGATACATTTAATAAACTTATTTCAAATCAACCAAAAATTTGTTCATATATGATACATGGACGCTGTACACATGGTACAAGAAAATAATTTTGTATCACATGTGATACATTGGACAGGGAACCTGTTAAACCTATTCTCTATGCCGAAATAATCAGTCATATGACGTTCTTGCAATAGCTTCAGGAGCAACAATTCTTTTCAAGAACTTTCACGAAATTCTTTTGGAGTGATTTACCTAATCGGTAGGAGTCACCATACCCTCGATAAACACTGGCCCTTGATTAAGTTGCATCGGCAAAAGTTTTATTAAGTTCATCGATGCACTGTTGCTGATAATCCACGTTGAAAGTTGTAAAAAATAATTGCGCGAAAATGTTTGCAATTTATATCCATAAGAAGAATATTTTAAGTTACTGTAAACAACACAAATAGCGCTTGTATGACAAAATGTTCTGAGTATGTGTAACAAAAATGTCAAACTTTACGATAAAGTGAGTTGCCAGATTTTAACAATGGGGTTGTAAAATCTTGAAATATAAGAAGCAGCCTACTTATATCCCTCAACGAAAATCTCGTAGTGCATTGCCGCCAGTAAGAAGTCAGATTTCTGTTTTAAAGGGCACACCTAGTGGGGTATTTAAAAAAATGCTTTTTCATATTTTTTTTAATTTTTCCAATTTTTGATGCCATTGTATRACAGAGTTCAATTCACAATTATAAAGTAAAAGAAATTGGACAAATAGATTGGGAAAAATTTGGAAATTTCTTCGGACGTACCGATCAACGCATCAACGCTTTACGACCACCAGGATGTCATGAAATGTATTATTACTGGCGTAGAGAATCTATGCTTATGACTAGAAAATAGACGATTGAATATCGGAACAAAGGTGAGCCGAAGCTTAAAAAATCTCGTCAAAKCAGGTCAAATCTCAAGGTTATATTGACAATTTTCTTCGATTATCAAGTGTGGTGCACTCCGAACTCCTTCCGACCGGCCAAACTGTCAACAAGGAATATTATTCAGTGGTATGTGTAGTTTGTGTGRAGCTGTTCGTAAAAAGAGGCCCGAATTATGGGYCGACAACTCTTRGTTTTTGCACCGCGATAATTCACCGCCATATACCGTGACAGAAAACTTAAAATAAAACCCATTTGCTCAGTTTCGCACGTTCCGCACGTTCCGCAAACATYCGCAGTTTTTATGACGCTTCTAATACGTTTCGGTATGCTTTCAACAAGATTTTGCATATAATTTGTGGGGATTTGTTTCCACTCATATTATCTACGATGCCATAGCTCGTCCATGCTCCCAGGAGCTCTTTGACATTTTCGTAACCATCTTTTCATTATCGGCCACAAATTCTTAAAGGGATTGAGATCAGGAGATTGTGCTCGCCACTCCATTAGCTAAAAACGCTGCTGGGATAACCATTCCTTAACTATTTTGGTGGTGTGTTTTGGATCTCCGTGCTGTTGGAAGATTACTTCGTCTTCAGGGTAGGCGGTTAAATCTACGAAGTCTGGCAAATTGATCTGCAAAATGCTCAGGTAGTCTTCTTTTTTCATTATACCAGTTATTTTTACAAGAGGACCAATATGCCACCATATAAAGCAACCCCGTACTTTCCGTTTAACGGTTTGTTTAACATGATGCCTTTGGATACTTTCTTTAGGACGGTGCCAGTAATAACTTATCCTTTAAGGCTGAAATCGGTTAATCTTCATTTTGTCCGACCAAATCACATGTTTCCTGTTTTTGTGTTGTTTGCAGAAAGCTAGCCGAGCTTTTTCGTCGATAAAGCCGCTTTCTTTTTCTTAATTGCTGATTACGTCGTCGTGCAGCTTTTCTATGTCGTTGAACTGTTTTTTCACATCTTTCGTTCAATTAAACGTGCATCAGAGTTCGTCAATATCCGTAGTTTCTCTTTTTATGATTGGTGCCTGAAATCGAAGCTTTTTCTGAATCCAGATAAATGCTCTCAGATCTCTTATGATAGGGGACGCAACATCTTATCCTCAAGTTACAATATTTCTAATTGCATCCAAAAATGCGTTACTGAAATCAAAGATCTTGGGGTAATCTTTAACAACAGATTTTCTTTCAGTAGTCACATAACTATATCACTTCTAAATCTTTCTCTGTACTCGGCTTTGTCCGCCGCAATGCTTTAAATTTTTCCGACCCCTACACGTTAAAATTACTGTATACATGCTTTGTTCGGTCCATTTTGGAGTATGCAGTGTTCGTCTGGAGACCATATTGCATATCGTCAATTAATAGGATCGAGCGTGTCCAAAAGATTTTTCTTAAATTTGCTCTCCGCTCCCTACAGTTTGTTGACCCAATACCATCGCATACATCCCGTTTATTGCTTTTACATCTTAAACTACTGGAAAATCGTCGGTCCGTTCTCTGCCTTTCATTTGTTTTTAATATTATTAATGGAGGTATTGACTGTCCCTATTTATTAAGGAAAATTAACTTCAATGCTCCTCAACGTTGTCTCAGATCTATTTCCCCATTTTATTATATAAGGGAAAGTACTAACTTTGCTGAATATGCTCCTCTTAAGCGTGCTATGCGAGAGTTTAACTCGATTTCCGAAAAAGTTCTTCTTGATTTTTCTCACTCTAGGGTATCCTTCATTAATACCCTAAATTCTGTTTTTTAGTTTAAGTTAATTCCTTATGTACCTTTAATTGAATTATTTTAGAATTCTATTTAGCATCCTAATTTTCCATTAGTCTGTAGGAATTAATGTAAATAGACTTAACTAAATAATTAAATAAATAAATATTTTTTCATTTGCTCAATGTAACAGTGCTTTGATATGCACTATGCGAAACGTGAAAACTGAGCAAATATGTATTTTTTAAAGCTTTGTTTTGTTCTGTCTTTTTTCATATTTGAATATTAAGTTATTTTGCAATACTATTTTCTTTTAAATGTCCAACGAATAAAGTACAAACAAGTTTTTTTGAATTCGGTTGCGTATTTATAGCACTTCAAGATAAAGTTAGAGAACATTTGCTCTGTTTTCCACGCTACGGCAGTTCTTCTCTATGGAATATAAACATCAACTCAAGGAATCATCGATGTCTAACTTATCTCATATACATATAGTTGTCACTTTGAAAACTTTATCAGAATTTGACGTTTGAATTTTTCAAAGTCATATCAAAATCTAAGGAAAATAAAAATAATAACCATTAAGTGATTTTAACGATCATCTGACAACTCCGCTAGGCAAGCAAGAACTTATACAAAAGCAATAAMTATGAAACATTTTTAAGGCTAGTTTTTAAATTTCGTAAAATATTTAAAATGCGTTCAATCATTTTGATATTGATCCTTTTAAACTGTCAGTTTTTTACCGCGCAAAGTTTCGATAACAATCGTATACAGGTAAGTGGTCGCGTGTTAAATGGACCTAAATGGACTCCCTTAACATTCGATACCCCCAACACAGGAGCAGCACAGAAAGATGAAGCGAATGTTACCGCGCTTGTACTCACAATATTCAGAGGATTCCGGTAGCGAGCAAGASGGCGGCGCAAACCGTTCGGAAGGTGAGTGCAAGCAAAACCCCATGATGGCGGGAAATGCAAAACAAAAAGCCACAAGCATCGCACAAAAAGCAGCTCAAGAGGCTAARGCCGCGTCCGAAGCGCAGCAGGCGGCTGGCGAGGCTGCTGCACTTCAAGTGAAGGGACAACTCGCCGAGAAGGCTATGCAAGCTGCCAAAGCGGCCGAGGCAGCGCTTGCAGGCAAACAACAAATCGTCCAGCAGCTGCAGCAGGAAGTGCGCGAAGCCGAGGCGGTTGTACAGGAGGAGAGTAGCTCACTACAGAATGCACAGCAGAATGTCAATGCTGCCGTTAGCTCGGCCCAGCAAGCGCAATCGCAATTGAAGACGCTCACAAAAGCGGTACAGACAGCGCAAGCGAACGTCGGCAACGCCGAGCAGGCTGCAACAGGTGCACAGCAGGAATTTGCCGAGAAGACGCAACTGGTGGAGGCGGCTAAGATGCGTGTCGAACAGCTGTTGCGGCAGTTGAGCTCCGCCCGACAGGATTTCAATAAGACAAAGGATGCGGCCATGAAAGCGGCTGCAGCTGCGCACGAGGCTAAGGTGAATGCATCACCGACTGGTCGTTGTCGTCGTATGATGCGTTTGCCGCGTAAGCGTCGGCTTGCTGTAGCGCCACAAGCGAAGCAGTGATACATTTTTTTTTATAGATGTATATATATTTGTTAAAATGTTTATTTTTTTGTTTAGTCCTTTGTAAATCGATTTACTTGCAAAGACCTGCCAATTTTTTTTYTCTATATATTTTTTCATTTCCAAAACAGATAAATATTTAAGAAAGGATTTATAGGAAGCCTTAAAGCTGGACTCAAAAGATACGYCAAATTTTTTTGCAGCCTCAGTAATATTAGTCTCGGTGACCTTAATGATTTGTATATTCAAAAACTTGGCCAATTTCAGTGAGACTATGAGCTGATTTGCAGAATGATCCATATTTCCCCTTTAAATAYCTGTAGTAAGCGAAATGAGTAACTGCATTGCCGTGTACCAGCTCTGCTCTACACTACAATAGGCGTAACTTTTGGTCTTCAGTTTAGAAATTTCACTCAGTTCTCTACACAGGCGACTATCGTAATGGCTTCAGTTTGCGAGCTCGCGATTGCTTTTAGTTCGAAAGCCGGCTTTACATTTCGGAAATATTTAACTTCAATCTGTTTGCCATGAGTATTCATCTAAAGAAGACAGCTCATCTAAAGTGCCGTTTGGTTCTCTCAGTGACGTATAAAAGCGATCTTACGAGGATGCGATATTAACGACCTTTATTTGAAGTCCTAAAAAGACTGACTTCATACAATATAGGTCATCGAATGACAAATAAAGTGAACTTGTAATGTTTGAATCCACTTCGATCCATATTATATATATATAGTAAATATTATATATTCTTCTTCTTTATTGGCGTGTATACAACTGCGGGCAAGTCGTTTCTCCTTTTCGCTTTCGACAGCCAGGTAGTTTGATGAATTTTCCTATGCTGGAGTCTMKTACTACAGATAACCATATTTYGGTCCTCGGCGAAATCGATCAGTCTCAACCCTTTGACAACCCTGGCGTTAAAGTGGCCAAAAACGATTTTGACTTCATGGCGGGGGCAGCTCTTCCGCTCCGAGACATCTATGGTCACATTGTCAATCTTTACCGTGTGGACGATTATGTTGAAGAACTTTGCTTTGGTGCRGATTGTAGCTAGATATTCATACATCGGTATAAATGCCAGGACTTGGCGATGGAATCTCTCTCCCACCACTAGCTGTACACAATATTTGCGCTTTTTTATATGACCACTGTAGTAAAGGCCATAAGGACTGATTCCTCTCAGTCCTTGTCTCGTCCACCGCACTTCTTGGTCGGCGGTGATGTCAGCCTTTACTTTTACGAGGATATCAACCAGCTGGGCAGCGGCACCTTCCCAATGAAAGCACTGGACATTCAAGCTTCATACCCTTAAATTATAAACCTTAATACGTTTGCAGTGGYCWTCAAAAGGTGACTGTTTTCTACTTTTCATKGKGGGTGGCGCACAACCCTSGGTAGGGCTGTTTAGTCTAAAKTGAAGTCGTCKTTAAAYSGATGTGTTTTGSCTACCCAGAGAGTACTTGGTCTAAGACCAGAAGTGAAGAATCATTTCTGTAAACTCCGTAGTGAATGGCGTTCAGAGAACTTTCCCCAGTTGGGCGAACTTTTGCACATGACTCCATCTCAACATTATATATAACTATGTGCATTTTATAAGGATAAGATTATTTCTAAAGCTTTCTAAAGATAAGTTTTTGTARACCAATCCTTTGCATCATAGAACCGTACTTTCCCTTCTCTACTCTCTTGACGATATTTAACAACCCCAATCCGGTAATGCCTCGTTGAAAAGTCGAAGCATTTTTGCATTAAGTTCCGATTCAAATTATATTGAAATGTGGAATCATTCCAGTTTGGAATTGATTTCGCAATGTATTCGAGAGCTAGATTATAAGAGGTTAAGCAAATCTCACAGAGCTAAATGCTTAGTTTCCTTTGCTCTCCAGTCACTTCCAATCAATGAAATACGTTTTCTATAACAACCGGTATATATGTGCATTTATATAATTGTAAAATACAGAAAAAATATAAAACCATTGAACAGAAAAAGACGATTTCACAAAATTGAAATATATGTTTCAGTTGTCAATTGTTGTTATGAACTCTAATGACGTTGTCGCTGTGCTAGTCGCAAGTGTCGTTTTGCCATCATTCGACTGCCGGGCGACGAACGTCCACAACGATTTCCGGGATTCGCATTCTGTTTAGCTTCGTGTGCAGCGGCAGCCGCCTTCATAGCGGCCTCTTTAGTCTTGCCATAGTCGTTGCGTGCCGAACTCAATTGACGCAACAATTGTTCCACACGACTCTTTGCGGCTTCCATTAGTTGCGTTTTCTCCGCCAAGTCCTGTTGTGCGCCCTGTGCTGCTTGCTCTGCATTACCGACATTCACTTGTGCCATACTCACCGCTTTCGTGAGCGTCTTCAGCTGCTGTGCGGCATTTTGTGCCGCTTGCATGGCGGCGTTGACATTTTGTTGTGCATTTTGCAGCGAACTACTCTGCTCTTGCACCACTGCCTCGGCTTCGCGCACTTCCTGCTGCAGTTGCTGTACGATTTGCTGCTTTCCCGCCAGTGCTGCTTCWGCGGCCTTTGCGGCAGCAACCGCCTTCTCGGCTAGTTGCGCCTTCACTTGTTGTGACGCTGCTTCGCCGGCGGCTGCTTGTGCATCCGAGGCGGCTTTGGCCTCTTTGGCGGCCTTCTGTGCGATATTGGTGGCTTTCTGCTTCGGATTACCGGAGGTGACGCTACTTTTCTTGCACTCATCCTCYTTGTTGCCTTCGGAACCGCCGCTTCCACCCTCACCGGACATGAGTTCGGCATACATATTTTGCAGCATGTGACGCGCATTGCGATGGTGCATCTGCAAACATAGTGGTATGGGTAAGTGGGTTTCGAGATTTTGAAGTGCTATGTACGTACCCGCCTCTTGTTGTAACAGTGCTGTCCAACCGCCGAGTGCGCTGTCAAATAAATCAGTAAAAATATACAGAACCAATTCATATTTATGTTTCGATAAAAAATTCTAATTTCGAMATCAAAACTTTGACGGCTTTGGCGATGTGAAGGGAATGGTTGAAATTGGTAACAAGTAGAGAGTTTATGTTCGGACGCGTAAGAGGTTAGATGAGCTTGAGTTGTTGTAAAGTTTCGTGAGTCCGGRCTTTCYACCGAACACAAATACACCATTACAATCTTTTCTAAAACTGACAGAGGAAAAACACTTCTAAAAAGTAGATTGGATGTTGGTATATTATTGAACCGGCGCTCCTTAATCAAAACGTGTTTTTAAACACCAACGGTGAATGTTCCGCTGGGTTTCAAGCTTACTACGTTTTTAACCATATGACAGTAGTGATCCTATTTTTGTTTATCCTTTTCCACAATTTTTGCATATTTTGTATAGTTATATAACCCCCTTTATCTGATATATACTGTTTTAGACTTACATATTTCAGGATTCTAAAGTAGGGTAGCACTAAAGTCTCCTGAATACCAGTCTTTAAAGGAAACACGACGGCTGATCAATTGGCTATGATAGTGGCGGCCACCCAGCCAATTGAATCGGAGGAAAAAGACAAATAAAAGATCGGTAGACGCCAAAAGTGTTTGAACTCGACAAACCAAGCTTATATATTTCTTGACAAAGTACAGGTAGGTTACCAGTGTTCCTAGAAACAAATTGGCTCTGAAGTGGTATGTGTATAGTAAGACACAAGCTAATAACGAGAAGTGCCGATATTTTCTCTTTGCAGCGCTTTGATTGGAACGAGTTAGTGAAGGACGAGCATCAAAATCTTCAATCTCAAATTGTGTCAAAATTTCACAACCAAAAGATGTGAGTCTTAAAAGAGTATTGMAAGAAACAAATTAGCCAGTCTWGAAGAGACATCTCGGCATGAAAAYCCACTTTTATTACAGTTAATTTCTTACTTAATTCGAGKGACGCAAGCAATTAGCAGTCCAAAGKCGYATATAGTAGCGTATTAGGATCTTGACCCCATCAAAGTACTGTGCTTCTAGTAAAATTATCTCTTTAAAATTTCAATAATTTTCAAAAAGACATTTTGACACCAGTCAATTTACACTTGAAACCGAAAGGAGAACTCAATATTGTTTATATTTTCTTAATTATATATACAAACATACAATATATGCAACCACCTAGTAGATGCATCTGAAAATTTATTTTTTGCTTTCGATAATAGTTTCGTTACAGATATTAGCGTCGCGCGCCTACATACGCCAGGTGAGTACCATGAAATTCCATACATCCAGTCACAGTTTTTACGTCCATATCTTTTTTCTGTTAACAGCCACATCGCAAGAATGCCAAACGAATGATTCCAAGCCTCTACACCGACTTCTCGCTCGCTAGCGAAGTGGGCGATARTGGTGGGAGCGGTGGYAGTGACAGCGGCAGTGGTAGCARCAGTGGTGCCGGCGAAAAATGCAAAAACGAAATGAGTGCAGGCAGCGCCAAGCAGAAGGCTACCAATATCGCTCAGAAGGCCGCAAAGGAGGCTAAGGCCGCTTCGGATGCACAGCAAGCGGCTGGTGAAGCCGCATCCATGCAAGTCAAGGCACAGCTGGCTGAGAAAGCTATAGCGGCGGCAAAAGCGGCAGAAGCTGCGCTTGCCGGCAAACARCAAATCGTACAACAACTCCAGAATGAGGTTCGCGAGGCTGAAGCAGTAGTACAGGAGCAGAGCACTTCTCTGCAGGACGCTCAACAAAATGTCAACGCCGCCATGCAAGCGGCGCAGAATGCGGCACAGCAGCTGAAGACACTCACCAAAGCGGTGGTTATGGCTCAGACTAATGTCGGCAATGCCGAACAGGCAGCACAGGGTGCACAACAGGAGCAAGCTGAAAAGACACAGCTCTTCGATGCCGCCAARACACGTGTCGAACAGTTGTTGGGTCAGTTGAACGCGGCGCGCAATGATTATGCCAAAACGAAAGAGGCTGCCATGAAAGCAGCTGCTGCGGCACATGAAGCCAAGCAGAATGCGAGCCCTGGTCGGTGTTATCGCTCTTTGGCGACAGCACGTCTGTTGGCCAAACGTCATCGCTTGTTGGCGCATAGACAACGACACTGAGTGACCWATAATTGTGGCGAAGAATTCAAAAATAGCGCTCTCGATGAYTTGATACATCATCCTTCATAWTATTTATATCTAGGACTTTGTTATTTTGTCTAATTTTTCCTTAATTAACTTAGTCATCAAAACGACATGAATTATTTTGCTTTTATAAAATACACACTTTGGTTTCCAATCAACACTTCGCTAAGGAAAAAACGCATGTCAATGAAAGTAGGGTAAGGCTGCGCAGATATGTTGTCCCAGACACAAGATGAGGTTAGGTTAAGTAGTCGATCATTACACAAATCTCACTTGGAACACCAATCMATCTCTAATAATAATTTGACTAAAGTACTCTCATGAATCGACAAAGCCCTTTGAGCCTACCACAAATTTGTTAAAGTGGCTAATGACAGTTTCGTTTACATTCCCCGGTTCGCCGAAAGTAAGGCTACTGAGATCTTTCAACCTCAATCTTGCAAAAACCGGACAATGGCGGAAAAAGTTCCCGGAAGTTCTCATCTCACTTTCTWCCATATAACTTTGACAAATTACCCCATAGTTGTCTATTGAACAATGCCCAGTAATAACTCCTACAATTTTAGCTTTGTTAAGGGAAAGTAGTTCAATAGATCGTCTGGCGAAAAGTATCTCGCAGTCGCTGAGAAGTTGGTCGTCAATGAACGCGTACTCAGATAACTGGACATATGGGCATAGGATATAAGATGAGAACAGTGGTCCAGCTCATTCTTACTTCGAAGTAAGCGGATCAAGGGTGCTCTATATTTCTAGCTCATCATGTTTGTAAGTACCAGCGAATTTGTTATGACCAGGTACGCAAGCGAGCTTAAGAATAAAGTCACTTGATCCTATTTCTAGCGGGGAACAACACTCGTTGGCCAACTTTGTATACTCACGTGCTTAAAAGTAGCTGCACTTCGAAAAACGTCTTCTGCTACCTTAATTCCTTGAAAAATACTAGAGTAACCCTATAGTTAAGCTTGACGAAGAGCTCCTTTCCTTGAGGGGGAAGGGATGTCTGCGATTTAATCCATCTGGTAAATAAAATCATGTTAATTTCTTCTTCTGCTTCGTCAACGTAGACAATGACTTCGGCAATATTTGAAACATACTATAAAAGGTTTAACAAATGGTTTCAGCATGAAAATATCTGCCTTTTTTTTTTTACAAAATATGGTCAGGTGAAAACACTTTATCCATTTATTTTTCAAGGATAACCATAGAATCTATGTGCATCGCAATCCTTTCGAATTTTTGGTGGAATATATTTTCTGCGTCGACAAKTTAATAGTCGCGTTTTCAACCACAGCCTTTGAGAAGCATGGATTACTTAGATSTATTATATAGACCACAGGCGGTGATCAAATAGTCCACACACAGACATATCAAAAATGTTTAATAGAGTGTGAGTCGGAATCTATTGCTCGGAGTTGGATCTCAGCAACCCTTCYAGCTTCTGGAATACTGCAGTATCTTCTATGCGGAAGTAACATAAAAAAACATCATAAAGAACAAGAAGATATGTATACAAGGTGCGTTCCAAAGTAAACAGGACTTTTTTTTATCGATTGTCCAGCGAGAATTTCATTTATTCGAACTGAAGTTATTACGTTTTAAGTTTCAGAATGTTTGTGTTATCGGTGCGAAAATGAGCTTCGAACAAAGAGTCAACATTAAATTTTGTTTCAAAATTGGTAAAATTTTTACCGAAGCGTTTCAATTGATGACACAAGTTTATGGCGATGATTGCCTATCCTATAGTAGAGTGCACGAGTGGTTTCAACGTTTTCAAAGTGGTCGAGAGAATATAAATGACGATCAACATGCGGRCCAATAAAAATTCGTGATCACCGGAAATTMCATGGAAACTGTGCATGAATTCATCAACATTGAAATTTATGGAAATGGAATTGAACATCTCCAAAACATCGACTTATCGCATTTTGACCGAACATTTGGGCTTACGAAAGGTGTGTGCAAGTTTTGTTCCGCACAAATTGACTGACGACGAAAAATTGCTCAGAATCCAACATTCGAAGGACATTATTGTGACCAAATTACATTTTAACCATTAACCACCAGGATCGGTGAGATGGAATGCCTTAAGAACATGAAGGAACACCAAGACCATTCGCAAGAGCCTCGAAGGTTATAAGTCAGGACGATGAATGCAAAAAGTATAGGAAAGTAGGTGGGAGAGAGATTTTGTAACACCTTCTATGCTTCTCCCCATCATTATCATGTTAGAAAAAAAACTTTAAAATACCCACATATAGTATATCAACCTAATGGCGAGTAGCTATTTGGAAGACATAAACTTGTTATATAAAACCTCTGAGCGACCACGGCCCTTAAAGATCGCATCAGAAGATGCACAGCCATCAACCTTCGACCAAGGTCTGGGGGATTAGTAATGAAGCGGCGGCGAAGAACTGAAAAGGAGCTTGCATCAGCTTGTTTGCAAAATATGGTCGGACGAAAGCATGCCCAACGATTGGAATTTAAGTGTGCTCTGCCCAATCCATAAAAATTGAGATCCCATAATCTGCGCCAACTACCGTGGGATAATCCTTCTTATCATCGCATATAAGGTTCTATCGAGCGTATTGTGTGAAAGATTAAAGCCCACCGTAAACAAACTGATTAGACTTTATTAGTGTGTCTTTAGACCTGAAAAATCAACAACCGACCAGATATTCACCATGCACCAAATTTTGGAAAAGATCCGTGAAAGTAGAATCGATACACACCACCTCTTCGTCGATTTCAAAGCTGTTTTCGACAGCACGAAAAGGAGCTGCCGCGACGCCCGAATTTGGTATCCCCGCAAAACTAATACGTCTGTGTAAACTGACGTTGAGCAACACCAGAAGCTCCGTCAGAATCGGGAAGGACCTCTCTGAGTCGTTCGATACCAAACGAGGTTTCAGACAAGGCGACTCCCT